TTATGAACTCAAGATTTGAGGTCCGTGCAACCTTCAGCACACATACGCAAAAGATCCAGGAGGATGATAAAACAGACAGCAATAACATACAGGACCAGTATTGGGAAAGGGGGGAGGTGTTTAAAAAAAATCCCATACCTTCATGCTGGTGATATTTTCCAGCATCTCATATATTGTGTTTCTCCCTTTCGGTGACCTTTTTATTGACAATGCCCTCCAAGCCAATCACTGTTTGCACATTGCTCAGACTGTGGGTGTTATCAAGGCTTTGTTGGCATGATTTGTTTCTCCCCTTGGAGTCAAGTCTGGTTAAACTAAAAGTGAGTCATGCATGCAAGCACTAGCAAAAGCTTTGTGCCACTACAGGAACTTGCACATGCGGATCCAACCCAGGATCACGGAATTGTTGAACCGGAGGTCACCTCAAAGACAAGTACAGCCACAAAGAAGAGGGCATGAGCAGTTTCAGCCGCAATCCACTCAGCCCTCCAACTCTGGCTATACTGGAGAGATATTTTTACCCACGGCATGGAGGATCTCGCTCCATCCTTTTATCAGGCAACAGTGCCAATGAAAACAACAGCATGGAAACCTATCTGTCTGTAGGCTGGGCAGTTTTCAAAGGCAGCCCCACGTCATTATAATAAGTTTTCTGGGATGTGAACACAGCACAGATCCCTGAGGCCAGATCACACTTTTTGAGGAACGATCATAGGTGGCTTATCAACTGAAGCTGACAAAAGATGCTACATACATGGAGGAGACCTGAGCCTCCAAACATAGGCCGGGATCCAGCACCGTCCCCCAAACTACAAAGTTTCCCACCCCAACTTCACTACCTTGCTCATAGGCTGTGAAGTGACAGACTTTTGACAATTTTTGGGGGGGGAGTGCCCTGCAAATATGGGTGAAAATGTCACCCCTGCTCACAGCTGTTGGCAACCCTAAACCCTGCTGCAGCCTGGCACCATTTTTCCCCCCACTTCTTCTCTACAAGATGGCATTGTTGGCATTTGAAGTTAAACCTGAAAAGGGATAAGTGGGGGGAGGGAAGCACTGAGACGAAAAGCAGCAGGTCCAGGAACCAGCCGTACAGAAGAAGTGAAGAGAGTACAGAAAGAAAGATTTCATGAAATCCCCACGAGGAGCTTTGAATTCATTACTGGGCTGCCACCTGCTGTGTTGGGTGGAGAAGAGAGGGAAAGCTGTTCCCACCTGCCGGGGAACCCAGGAGAATATTATCTGCTTCTGCTGACTCTAGTGGTGTGTACTACAGGGCAAGATTCATCTCCAGTAGGGCAGTCAGGCCCATCCTGGCAACCAGCAGTAGACCAGGGTGTCACCAGCATTGGGGGGGAGGGGGGGAGGGCATAATGTCACTTCCTGGGAAATGTAGAAGTGATGTCACATCACATCACTCTAGGAATTGCCAGAAACTCTATGGTACAACCTGGCTACTCTGTGGTAAAACCCATAGACCTTTTTGCAGCTCCTAGAGAGGACTGATAACTTTTGGGTTTTCCTCTGAAGATAACATTAGTCTTCCCTAGAAATCACAGAAAATCCTATGGTTTTATCACAGTGTCTCCAGCAAGTCCTAGAGAGATGTCCCAGCACTTCAAGGTTTTTCCTGGGGAACTATTGCCCATGAAGGATACAGTCCTCCATTCTTTTATGTGAAAGGGAGGCCCTTGTTGTACAAGGTGTGTGTGTATTCTTGCTTTTTTTTAAAAAAAAAAAGAGTTCTTCCATATTCTTTAGCCCATAAAGCTCCCTTGTGTTTTTCTCCCTTGTCACTTCCACTGTGAAATGTTTAGAAAGGGCAGGTATTTTGCCTCTGGTTGGGTACGCAGTGCATTTCCAGGATGTATTGCGTAAGGGCAAACAGATCAAATCACTGTTTTCATCACAGGCAGCGTTCTACCAAAAGTGAAGTGGTGTAATGTGTGGCAAAGTACCTGTTTATGTCCATTATGAAAGAGAAGACAAATACTGAATTACCTCAGCCCTTCCATTCCAGCCAAGCAGAGACAATTGTCTCGGCTTTTGGAAACATTACTCAGATTTACACATAATTTCTTGAGCAATTTTACATCACCGAGGAGTGACCTTGAGAGCCGAAGTACTGTCTGTTCAGCCTGCCAGCAAAACGGCTAGCGGTAATTTCTCAGTTCCACACTGAGATTTTTCAGGTACTCGTTCAAGAGGGAAAATCTTTGCCTTCCTCTTTTATCTGTGTCGGCTTGTCTCCGCTAAAGGCTATCTGTGCTGAACTTGCCACAAGGTTAAACACCTCTCTAATTCACGTGCCGTTGGATAACGTTGCATGTATAAAATGAAAACCCAACTCATTGTGTGGCAGTCCGACATATATAGACGCTTTCTCAGTGTTCTAGCAATCTGGATATAATCGACACACAGGGTGTATTGTGCACAATGACCCTGTAACACTTCTACCTCAGTGCCTGGCAGGCCACTCTCCTTTCAGGCATTCAGCCCTTGAGCAAGGGAGAAAAGTCCAGCTCAGAGCCCAACTAGACCTGATTTTCCAGGAGCCGGCAGGAGAATTTAAAAATGAGAGAGAGAGAGAGATTTTGGGGGTGGAGCGTGAGCAGGGTGGGGTTTGGGGAAGGGAGAGACTTCAATCCCATAGAGTCCACCTTCCAAAGCAGCCATTTTCTCCGGAGGAACTTTTGAAGCATGGATGGCTTCAAAAGGGAATTAGATAAGCATATGGAGCAGAGGTCCATCAGTGGCTATTAGCCACAAGGTATAGATAGGGGCTCTGGAGCAAGTGATGCTCTGTATTCTTGGTGCTTGGGGGGGGGGGTCAACAGTGGGAGGGCTTCTAATGTCCTGGCCCCACTGGTGGACCTCCTGATGGCACCTGGTATTTCTGGCCACTGTGTGATACAGAGTGTTGGACTGGGTGGGCCTTTGGCCTGATCCAACATTGGCATCTCTTATGTTCTTATGTTATCTCTGTCGCCTAGAGACCTGTCGTAATCCCAGGAGATCAGCCACTACCTGGAGGTTGATAACGCTGTGTGACAGCAAGCCTGTGGCCACCATGAGTTCTCTGTCAGCATTTTACCATGATTTTAAAATGCTGTGAGGCTCTGATCCTGTATGGGATCACGGTGCAGAGCTCCCCTCCTTCGCTGCAGGGGCCCACAAACACATGAACATACATATACACCACAGCTGTTTTGGTACTTGAAAAGGTGTGGGAGGAGGGCTCTGTGCCATTGTCCCATGTCAGTTTGGAGCCTCGCAGCCATCAGGATGTTTTCATCCAGCCCTCAGGCTGTTTAACAATTTGATGGGAACATTGTCCCGTCGAACTACAGCACTGGATGATACTGTTAAACAGCTTAAGGGTGATAACTTTTTTAAAAATTACTTTATTTATGAAGCACTTTTCTTCCCAGCGGAACCCCCCAAATTGACTTACATCAGTCTCCTATCCTCTGCTGTATTCTCACAACAACCCTGTGCGGTAGGTTAGGCTGAGAGTGTGTGACTGGCTCAAGGTCAAGCAAGCTGCCTTCAAATCTGGATCTCCTGGATCCTAGTCTGACACTCTTAACCAACACACCAGACTTGGTTTCTAATTTTTTAAGAGCTATATCTGTGTCTCCGCCTGGTTTGGTTTTATTGTTGCTTCAAGTTTTCTTGCATTTCAGTGACTGGGTTTTTAACATGTCTAGCTTTCTAAGACAGGGGTCCCCAATATGGCATCCGCCGACACCTTATGTGGTACCTGCCACGTGTTTTCAGAAAGTGGGCAGAGCCAGGTGGGGCTCTTTCCAGCATAGTTTCTGATAGGTCATTGGAAATCTAATTGCCTGTGCAGATTAAAATAATGTTGCTTTGGTGGCACCTGCACTTGGACTTGCTCTGGGTGTTTGTGTGTATTTATTTATTTATTATTTTAGATTTCTACCCCGCCTTGCCTGCGCATGCCTCCCACGCCTTGCCTGTGTATTGCCTGCACTCCACCCCCCACGGCAACCATTTTGTGGTTGTGCTAGGGTTGCCAGGTCTGGGTTGGAAAATACCTGGAGACTTTGGGCGTGGATCCAGGAGAGGGCGGGGTTTGGGGAGGGGAGGGGCCTCAGCATGGTACAAGGCCATAGAGTCCACCCTCCAAAGCAGTCATTTTCTCTAGGGGAGCTGATCTCTGTCAGCTGGAGACCAGGTATAAAAGCGGGAGATCTCCAGGCCCCCCCTGGAGGCTGGCAACCCTAGGTTGTGCCCACCACCCTGTGTCAGAATTCCAAAGGTGCCTGGAGGGTCAAAAAGGTTGGGGACCCTTGTTCTAAAGTTTCTTTTCTTTTCCTACTTTACGTTTGTGGATTCGAGATGTTAAGATTTGATATTGTTGATCTTTAATGGCTTTTAGCTATTATGCTAGCATCCTAGGAACCAATTACTGGTTAGAAAGCAGAGTCACACAGTCAAAATAAAATATCTCTGAACCTTTTTCGAAAAGCAAAAAGTAGCTGAGGAAGGCTGCAAGAGACTGCCCGCCCTTGCTTTGCTGGCTTTTCTCTGGGTAATCCTCATTTGAAACAGCAACCTAAATTTAAATCAACATTCCAAGCTTTGAACAGAAAAGAAAAAAGAAATCTCTAGCAGTTGTAGATATGACCTTCAGAGAAAATAAAATTCATTTTTTATTATCTTTGGAACAATTTATCTAATGCCTTTTTTTTTCCCCTTCCCACTAAAGGCATGGACCTGCCGCTGTGAAAACTGTTTACAAATGTTCTTTTTCTACATTTAAATTGATTTTCTGAGAGTGAGATAGGCAATGCACTCTGGAACTAATTTGAATTTTCCTCTAATTAATATTCAGACTCAAAATATGTTATCTTTGCATGACTGTGCAATTATTAAGGGGGAAAATATCATCCATGAAGGTAATTATTTTTCATTTCCCTCTTTTCTTTTCTCTCCCCCCCCCCTTTTTTTACTGGCACCTCACTTTTAAACAGCATAGTCTGTATCTTTTTTTTTTTTAAGGCCATGATTGAAGAAGCCATCACAAGAGCAGAATCTTTTTCCGTGATGTACACGCCATTTGCAATCAAAGTCAAGGCTGAAAAAATCGACAAGTTGAAAGAAGCTTTTACCAAAAAGCACCCAGATTATGTGGAATACATATATACAGGTAATAAAGGTGACATTAACAAACACAAGAGAATGGTCCATTTAAAGTTAAGCACTATAATGCCAGAACACAGGGGGATCCAATCAAGTGGATCGGCAGTAGATTCAGAATGGACAAAAGGAAGTACTTCTTTACTAAGTGGGTAATTAAATTGTGGAATTCACTGCCAGTAGCAGTACTGATGGCCATGATCTAGGGTTGCCAGCCAGCAACTGGCACCCAATGGGAGACCAGGGAGTGAGGACATGGGAGGGTACCATCAACTGAGCAGCATGAGTTCATTTCCTGACAAACCTGGAGGTGACATCATACCGCTCTATGATTCAGTGGAAACTCTGTGGTTTTACTGTAGAGTTTCTACTGAATCCTGGAGCGGGTTAATTAATTAATTATCGTATGGCAGTGGGTGTAGTATAGCCAGGAGATCCGAAAATTGTCTGGTAGCCTGAAACCCTAGCTCTTTTTCTGGGGAGCTAGGTTTATTGTTTGGGCTGTGAGAACTGTGACTGACCCAAGGTCACCCAGCTGGCTTCAAGTGGAGGAATGGGGAATCAGACCCGATTCTCCAGATTTGAGTCCACGGCTCTTGACCACTACGCCAAACTGGCTCTCACCTACAGCGGTATGATGTCATTTATGGGGTCACCCTGGAAATGTCATTGCACTGTTGGCACAATGGCTTTTTTCTTCATTCCTCCCCACACACTGGCCTACTGAGCAGCAGATGAGGGAGGTGGGTTGCAGGCAAGAAGTGTCCCACCATAGTAGGGGACCATCAACCCTAAGCAGAGATAGCTTTAATAGGAGGTTAGGCAGATTCATGGAGTATAGATCCATCAACAGCTACCAGCAACGGCAACCAAGGGGATCCTCCACATTCAGAGGCAGTGAGCCTTGGAATACCAGGTCCAGGAGGCAACATCTGGGGAAGACCTTAGCCTCTAATCCCCGTTTGTTGGCTCTCTGGTTGGCCACCATGTGAAACAGGATGCTAGGCCAGATGGCCCACTGGTCTGATCCCAGCTGGGCTTTTCAAACATTCTTATGTTGGCTTTGTATCCCAGTCATGTCAGTAGAAGAGCTAAACCAGGATGAAGTGTGCTCCTGCAGACAACAGATTACAGGGTGATTATCAGAGTGAGTGCCCACTTCAGATGTGCAGTATCATGGGAGGACCAGCAAATTGTCAGTAAATTAATTAGCAACTGTGCATCGCAGTGATTTCAGTGGAAGAGCTATGCTGGGGTAGGTTGGCCTGCGCAGTCCGCTGGCGGGGGGGGGGGGGGCTTTTCCTTTCCTTTTTTCCATTCCATTTAAATGAATGCCATAATGACGAAAGGCGCTCTCCTTTTTGTATCTCAGATCCCCACGGACTTCACAGTTTGCCCCAAACTGCAGACTGGTCTTGCCCTTCTCCCCAGTCGTATTTGCTGACACTGGGTTTCAAAAACAAAGAAGTCGGGAAGTTCCTGGAAAAGATGTCCTGCAGGAAGCTGCCTGCGTTTTCAGGTAACTGGGTGGGTTGTGGTTGTTTTTCTCCCCTTCCTGTTGCTTCCTAAACTGGCAACCCTGCTCCTCAGCTCCTTGTACAACGTCAGCTAGGGTTGCCAGCTTCAGTGTGGGGCTTGGGGATCTCCCAGGATCACAACTGCTCTCTAGACTGCAGAGATCAGTTCCCTAGAGAAAATGGCTGCTTTGGAGAGCGGACTCTGTGGCATGATGCCCTGCTGAGGCCCAGGGCTGCCAGCCTCCAAGTGGCACCTGGAGATCTCCCCTTGTTACAGTTGATCCCCAGACGACCAAGATCAGTTCCCCTGAAGAAAACAAATGCTTTGGAGTTTGGACTCTATGGCATTCCACCCTGCTGTGGTCCCTCCCCTCCCCAAACCTCTCCAGGCTCCCCTCCTCCAATCTCCGGGTATTTCCCGACCCTGCGCTGGCAACCCTACTGAGGTCAAAGCCCTCCCCAAACCCCACCCTCTTCGGTCTCCACCTCCAATTCTCCAGGAATTTCCCAAACACATGTTGGTAACACTAATGTCATTAGATGCTAGAATATAAGGAAGAGGGAGTATCCAATCAACTTCCGTTCATGTTAAACTTTCCCTCTTTGATCTAAAGCTTATCTGTTAGAACACGAGTGTTTTCAATACTAACATCTTGCACTAACTCTGGAATAGAACTAGGCAGGGCTTTTTTTGTAGAAAAAGCCCAGCAGGAACTCATTAGAATAATAGACCACAGCCAACAGGAGAAACTCCTTAGCATATTAGGCCACACCCCTGACAGCACAGCTCATTGGCATATTAGGCCACACCCCCATGTTACCAGAAGTGTGGTCATCCAGCCACACCCACCTTTTGCTCGTTATTCTGTTTACCTTGTTTGTTGTCAAAACCCAGGGCTTTTTTTGTAGCAGGAACTCCTTTGCATGTTAGGCCACACACCCCTAATGTAGCCAATCCTAATGAATTTCTGCTGTTGGGTGTGGCCTATTATGCTAATGAGTTCCTGCTGGCCGTGGCGAACTCGGGAGCCAGCCGGAACGCCGTTCCTGTGCGTTCCTGCCCAAAAATAGCCCTGGAACTAGGTAACACACTTCCTGGGAGGAGGGCTAATTCTCCCATGGCCAATGCGGACCAAGGAAGATAAGAGCAGCAAGAGGGAAAAGGTTGGGTTATACATTGCTATCCTTGCCCTGATGCCCGTCCACTTGTTGGGGCTTGCACAATTTGAAGAATATCCTGTTCAAGGAACCAAAGAGAAAATACAATGCGGATCAAATTTTAAAGTTAGGATGAACTAGGAGTGCATTCAGACAGGCAGCCAATCCCGCCATGATGCCGGCTCAAATGTGATCCCGATTTTTTTAATCCATCCTTGCACGACCAGACACCTCCAGGGGAATCGCCTTACTGCGCGCTGCTTCTGCTGTGGATTGTCCACTGAAGGGGGAGTGTGCGATGGCGTTTTTAAAAACTTTTTACGCATGGGCATGACTGCGCGTCCTTGTAGATCCACGCATGTGCAGAATCAAACGTTCAAAGCACCGTGTGAGGGACGCGTAGCCTAAACGAGTTCCAGCCATCCCCCTTGCCATTGAGATCATACTCACTGGAGGGACTATTTTGCATGTTGAAAGACCCATCCCCCCTCCAGCTCCCACTGCACTATGTGATCATCCTCAAAATCACGGGTCATTCTTAAACATTAAAGTGTTCATGGTGCTAGATCAGGGTTCCGCAGCCTCGTTTTTAAATGCGTTTAAGCACATATTGGGTGCCCGCTCGGGATGGTCTGACGTCAGACCACCCCAACGGGAGGATTGCGCACTGGTGGAATGATCAGACGGGTGAAAGTGCACTGTTGTCCCGTCGGGTCCAGAAAACTCTAGATTCAAAGTACTGTCTTTTAAGTCTGGATAGGAGGCACGGCAAAACGGGATGTCCACGAAACAGGGACATTTCCCAGATGTTTGTGTCTAGTCGTGCATTTTTAATCCACCAGGGAATCCTGCCTGTGGCAGATCTAAAGAGCCGTCTGAACGGACTCTAGGACATCTTAATTGCTGTCCAGTTTTACTATGTAAATCAGTTAGAGAACTTCTTTGGTTGAAAGGAGCTATATATACATGGGACAGTGGAGGGGGGGAATGAATGGTACTATTTGCAGTAGATTGTACATAATGTTTGTTACTTATTTTTTAGATACTTATACCTAAGTTATATGTTAGACCTTTATTGGACACTTGTTTATCCATTCAAGATGCACTGATGATAATTTTTAAAAAATCAGCTGTGACTCTCTCTTTTCAAAAAAATCTCTTTAGAACACAAAGCACCTTTCAGTCCTCTTACAAAAGAAGAGGCAGGGAGACACCTGGAGACCATTGGGAAAAGGATCTTGCCAACAATAGACTTCATTAGAGGCACCAAATTAACCGTAAGTGTCAGAGTTTGTTTCATGGTGTGCTTTTCCCTGTAAACAATAAAAGATCTCCCACTATTACATCTGATACCCAGGTGATAGGTATCTGCTCACCTGGAGAAAATGCCTGCTTTGGAAGGTGGACTCTATGGTATTATACCCCACTTCCCCAAACCCCACCCTCCTCAGGCTCCACTCCCCAAATCTCCAAGTGCTTCCCAACCTGGACCCGGCAACCCTACTAGTTATTATTCCATTATGCTAACATTGCATATACGCCAGTTTGGTGTAGTGGTTAAGTGTGCAGACTCTAATCTGGGAGGACCGGGTTTGATTCCCCACTCCTCCACTTGCACCTGGCTGGATGACCTTGGGCTAGCCGTAGTTCTGATAGGAGCTGTTCTTGAAAAAGAACAGTTTCTGTCAAGAGTTCTCTCAGCCCCACCTATCTCACAGGGTGTCTGTTGTGGGGAGGGGAAGGGAAAGGAGTTTGTAAGACGCTCTGAGACTCCTTTGGGTAGTGAAGGGTGGGGTATAAATCCTATATCTTCTTCTTCTTCTTCTTCTAATCACCATTTTAAAAAAACCAACCCTATCCTCCATGAAAATGAGTTCATTCAGTCTTCACCTATAAGACCAGAAGTGGCTTTTCTGATTCAAAGTCTGGCCTCCTTTCCCTTCTCAGAAAGATTTCCAGGGAGTTTCCCCTCAGACTCTCCTTTCAGCAGAGAAAGACCTCCAGGGCAGATGTGTCTAGGGAGCCAGGGAGTTCATTTCAGGAGGACCGAGGAACTATACCACAGCTAGGTATAATATATAACCCCTCACTCCTGGATCCACTTCAGTCCGGCTTTCGCCCTGGCCATGGGACGGAGACGGCGCTGGTTGCCCTTACGGACGACCTCCGGAGGCATCTGGACCGAGGTGGTGTGGCGGCACTGGTGTTGTTAGATCTGTCGGCCGCGTTTGATACGGTCGACCACCAGTTGCTGATCCACCGCCTCGCCGACGTGGGGATACGGGGGCTCGCCCTTCAGTGGCTTGCCTCCTTTCTCCAAGGTCGGGGACAGAGAGTGGTAATAGGGGAACAGCAGTCCCAGAGGCACCCACTTGAATGTGGTGTGCCTCAGGGGGCAGTGCTTTCCCCGATGCTTTTTAACATCTATATGCGCCCTCTCGCCCAGATAGCCAGGAGGTATGGGCTGGGTTGTCATCAGTATGCGGATGACACCCAGCTCTATCTGATGTTGGGCGGCCGGTCGGGCTCCGACCCGGAAGATCTGAACCAGGGATTACAGGCCGTGGCTGAGTGGCTCAAGCTGAGCCGGTTGAAGCTAAATCCAGCGAAGACGGAGGTCCTGGGCGTGAGTCGGAACGGCTTGGGGTTGGGGCTCCCTCTCCCGACCTTCGATGGGGTGCCTCTGGTACCAGCGTCGGAGGTTAGGAGTTTGGGAGTGCTCCTGGACTCCTCCTTAACTATGGAGGCCCAGGTAGCAGCCACGGCCAGGTCTGCCTTTTACCACCTGAGGCAGGCCCGGCAGCTGGCCCCCTTCCTCAGCCGCGACGACTTAGCTACAGTGATCCATGCGACGGTCACCTCAAGGCTGGATTACTGTAACGCTCTCTACATGGGGCTGCCTTTGTCGTTGATCCGGAAGCTGCAGCTGGTGCAGAATGCGGCGGCCAGGTTGCTGATGGGCCTCCCTAAATGGGGCCATATCAGACCTGTGCTGAAGGCGCTGCACTGGCTGCCAATAGCGTACCGGATCCGCTTCAAAGTGCTGGTACTTACCTTTAAAGCCCTATATGGCCAGGGTCCGACCTACCTGAGGGACCGCCTTTCCCCGCATATACCCCCAAGAGCACTTCGGTCGGGGACCCAGAACCGGTTGGTGGTTCCGGGCCCCCGGGAGGTAAAACTTGCATGGACCAGGGCGAGATCCTTCTCAGTGGCGGCCCCTACCTGGTGGAATGAGCTCCCGGATGAGATCAGGGCCCTGCGGGACCTTGTGCAGTTCCGCAGGGCCTGCAAGACGGAGCTCTTCCACCAGGCTTTTATGTAGGGGCCGCCGCTACCACCACCACCAACGGTGGAATTTCCAACGGGATTTGGATCACCCTGGGATGTACGGCCTACCCTGCGCGACATTAATACCTACTGGAGAGTGGCACCCCAATTGGACTGACTGAAGATCAGAGACGCCATTTTTGCTAAAGACCATCTTGTCATGAAGCACTTATTTATTTACTGTTATATTTAATTAATGTTATGCTTTTATTGTTTTATGGATTTTATGTATGGGCTGTAGCCCTCTGGAAGCCGCCCTGAGCCTGCTTGCGGGGAGGGCGGGGTAAAAATGTTTAAAAATAAATAAATAAATAAATAAATAAATAATATTAAAATTCTGCCCTTCGCACATAAAGGAACTTCCGAAGTAACTTCCCGTTTAGGCACAGCCATTTTGTCAATCCCTCTCAGTACTTTTTGCAGAGCGGGTTTTGTTTTCAGTGCTTCAACTTTTACTTGACCTTAAAAATAGAAATCTGAAGAATAATAATAGGTTTTTATACTCTGCTTTTTTCTACTCTAAGGAGTCTCAAAGTGGCTTACAATCACCTTCCCTTCCTCTCCCCACCACCTTGTGAGACAGGTGGGGCTGAGAGAGTTCTGAGAGAACTGTGACTGGCCCAAGGTCACCTGGCAGGCTTCATGTGGAGGAGCGGAGAATCAAACCCGGTTCTCCAGATTAGAGTCGGCCACTCTTAACCACTGCACCACGCTGGCTCTTCCATTTGCATCGAAACTAATTTTTTAAAATGACATTCATAACATATTCTTCATAAAGTAATCATTGGGGATGGGGGAAGCTTTTCCTCAGAAGTCAGCAGAAGATTAATTTTAGAACGTACCTTTCAGCCTACAGTAACTATGTGCCCCTCAGTCACGCTTTTTAAGGGGGAGAGGAACTGTTCAAGCAGAGCTTAACAAGGAAATCATATCAGTTGTATGAAGAGAGGAGACAGTCAAAATAAAACTACTTATCATTGATTTGAGCAGAACCTCTGCCAATCTAGTCCACAAGAAAGGAACGGAGCAGATACTGAGGGAAAGCTTGCGTCCTTTCTGGTAAACATCTTTGTGTAGCGATCATGAGAAGACAGCACCCTTGACCCCAAAACTGGATTATAAAGGAATCTAGAGCTGACATTACAGGACAAGGACTACTCTGTCATTTCTGTCTAGACGCTGATGAAATTGGACACTTCTGTTTGCTGCAATAGTAGTCCAATTTTTATTTGAATTAGACGTGCCGCTATTACATATCTCACACAAACTGCCTTAGTGCTCATTCCACGGAAGAATGTGCTTTACAGGACATTTTTCCTCCAAGTTACCTGCTATTAGCTCTCTGAATTTCTTTGGGGTTTAAAAAGATGAGGGTTTTATGGAGGAAAAATACACTCTAGTTGAAAAGATGCAATTATTTTTTGTAAGATCTAAAATACTTTGCTAGCGGGGTTTTGTCCCTTCCTTGTTTGAAAGACACTGATGGAAGCATTTCAGGACAAAATAAAGAAGAGGGGATTAATTAACACCCCAACACTACAGTCCTAAGCAGAGTTACTGTCTTCTGGGTCTGTTGACATGAGTGGGATGAGAAGGGTGTAACTCTGGTTAGGATCTTGTGCAGATTTTTTCAGAGCTAAACTGGACTGTATTCAATGGACCTTAGTCTCGGGGAAATGTACATGAAGATTGTCCTGTCAAGCAATCTTCTCATTCATTTAAAGACATGAAACAATGAAAACTTTCCATTCAAAGGCCCCGGTCACACGGGCCGGATATCGCGAGGGGGAGGGCGTGGCTGTTTGCCCCAGGGCAAAATAACGCGCGGTTGCGCCAGCAGAAGTACCGTGGAGGTCCCATGGAAGGGGGGAGGTGCCGAGCACACCACAATCCTGCGCCGCGGCAAAGAAGCGGCGTGGCAAACGGGTGTTTTGTTTTCCGGACACCAAAGTGTGCGCATACCCCGTTGGGTGCTTGTGCTCATCCCGTGGACAGTTTTTAAAAAACACCTTTATACGAGGGGGCATGGGCGGGCGCCGGAACTACCACCGGAAATGCAATCAGACGCCTGCCCTTGCCCCACGGTTACCAGAAACTAGTACCTACGAGGTACTAGTTTTTAACCACGCATCTTCAGCGGGAAGCCTCGGGTTCGCCACGGGAGCTTTACGCTTCCCAGATGTGGCGGTGAGATCACGCCCGGAAAATCTGCCTATCTTCCGTCTCTCTAGCGTGCCTAATGCTCCGTGTGACCGCAGCCAAGGAAAGCTATTTATAAGGCTGATTTCAGTAGGAGAGCTACAGCGCAATCCTAAACACAGTTATACTCTTCTAAATCCATTTAAGTCAATGGGTTTAGAGGGGTGTAGCTTAATGCAAACCAAGTAAGGTGAATTTGTAGCCCATTAGCAGTAGTTAAATCTCTGTGCTTCAGTTTAAGTGATAGGGCTTGGGCTTTATTATTTATTTATTTATTTATTATTCACATTTTTTATCCCGCCCTCCCCGGGCGGGATAAAAAACTATGTTATTATTATAAAAAACTATGTTACTATTGTTATTTAACTATGTTAAATAACAATAGTAAAAGTCTAGGACAGATTGGGCCAGGGATCCTGGAGGCTTTATGCCTTCCTATGGGCATAGAGGAGGGGTCACTGGGGGAGGGGAGGTAGCTGTGCATTTCGTGCAGGTTTCTGTGTAATTGATTTTTTAAGGACTTCAACCAAATCAGGAAAAAATTACAGACACAATTCACGCTTTTGTATATAGACAGCCAGTCACATGGAGGAAGTTTCCATCGGCTGCCATCGAGGTTTTTAGTTGCACTGAGTCACACACAGCGAGTTCCAAGCATACGTCCAGCCATTATCGGAAGTAGAATGCTTGTACGTGCCTCCCGTGTGGCTCTGCTATCTGCACCCAGGCAAACTGTGTCCAGAGCATT